TGTCATCATTTTGCCACATCAATTCAAGGGCAATCAGGCAGTTATCGAGGGTGCCCTGGGTACCAGGCACCAGAGAGCAGTGGAGTTTGATTATCTCCATTTGTCAGATGAGGCTCAGAATGGGGAAGAGATAGTCAGCCAGTCGGGAAGAGCTGGGATTTGAAGCAAAGTCCCCTGGCCTTCAGAGCCCACGCCTTGAACCAATGTGCTCCACAGCCCTGCTCGACCTCATCTCCCAGTTAGCCTGTGACACAGGGGTGTGAAGTGCCAGGCACCACCTTCCACGCAGGCAGTCTTCCGAGTGTGACCTTGACTTTCCCACTCCGTGAGAACACGGAAGCTCTGCAGGGCCTGGGGAACCCTGGTCTCCTGGCAGTGCCCCGCCTGCTTCCTGCTCAGGTTTTGATGCCCCCGCATCTCCTCTCTCTCCTCCCCCAGTACCAAGGCTTCCAGGTCCAGCTGGAATCGGTGAAGAAGCTGAATGACCTGGAGGGGCAATGGGCGACCAGCCCTGGCCTGAAAACCCAGAGATCCCAGTCCTCCATGTGCCACGACCTGGCCCTGCCACTGGACCTCCAGCCCATCTGTGCCTCTGGGGAAGCGGACAGCATTTTCCAGGCCTTGAGTGAGTCCCCCCACCCCTGGCAAGCCTCCTGCCCCTCATTCTCTCTCCTCCCCACACCCCAGCTCCTCTACCTCGTGTGGTTTCTGTTAAACACCCAGTGGCTGAGAACAGGGAGATTCAAGAAACTCAAGCCCCTGGCCTCCCCGGTTGGGGCACTGAAATGAGGCATGCCAGGAACTCCTTCAGTCCCCAGCAGCCTGGACGGGGTGATCAGACTACCTCCAAGACTACGCAGATTGGGGGGAAGGGGACACAGGAAACGGACCCATAAAAATGACTGCAATGCAGTGGGATGATGGGGGAGGCACAGTGGGGACACGGGAGAGAGATGGCTCACGTCCACGGTGGCATAAGTGTTACTGAGTCCAACCGCACGACAGGCCAATAAATCAGAGACGAGGTGTTGAGGCATGGAATACAACTTCATTTGGAAAGCCAGCAGACCGAGATGATGGCAGACTAAGGTCTCCAAAAAACTATCTTATCGGGGTTTGGATGCCAGTTTCTTTTATAGAACAGAGATGGGGAGGAGATGAGGAAGTAAATAAAAAGGCCATAAGTTTTGCAAATGTCCCTTGGAATGGCCAGCCTCTAGGAGGGGGTGTGTTAATTTCTTCTTTCTTGCAGCCATCCACAGGGTGGACAGGGTCAGGATGCTTCCCTGAACAATAGCACTTTGGTTTAACATTCAGGCAAAGGGGCAGGGTTCCCCAAGGCAGGCCATTACGTGTAGACAGTATCCTTTCAGTGAACAAAAGCAGCGGAAAGAAGAGGATAAAGTAAAAGAAACAGATCCAACATGTAGTCAGATTTGGCTCTTCCCTGTTACATAACGGGATCTGAAAGGTTTCCAAGACGGGGTGACATCTAAGCTGAAATGTGAGGGATGAAACAGCTGGCCAGGAGAATGCGGCAACTGGCTAGTACTTTTTTTTCTTTTGATTTTATTGGAGTATCATTGATTTACAATATTCTGTTAGTTTCAGGTGTACAGCCAAGTGATTCAGTTATACATACACATCTATTCATTCTTTTTTAGATTCTTTTCTCATATAGGTTATCACAGAATATTGAGTAGAGTTCCCTGTGCTATACAGTAGGTCCTTGTTGGTTATCTATCTTATATATAGTAGTGTGTGTATGTTCATCCCAAGCTCCTGATTTATCCCTCCCCCTCCACTCTTCCCATTTGGAAACCACAAGTTTGTTTTCGACATCTGTTAAGTCTGTTTCTGTTTTGTGAATAAGTTTATTTGTAACTTTTTAAAATTAGATTCCACATGAGTGATAGCATAGGATATTTGTCTTTCTCTGACCTACTTCACTTAGTATGATAATCTCTAGTAGCTAGTATTTATTGAGCACCTACTAAGTGCCAGGCCCCGGGCCAATCTCTTTGCCTGCAAGCTGTCCTCACAACCCCTCTGTCAGGCTGATACAGTCGAGCAGGCAGGAAAACTCAAGCACAGAGTTTAAGTGACTTGCCCAGGCACTGCTAGGAGGACAGAACCTGGGACTTGAGCCCAAGCTGCTCATGCTTCTTCTAAACTTTCTTGCTCTTAATCTATGAGAAGGATGCCAGGCCCCTGCCTCAAACCCTCTCAGAAGCGGGCCTTCTCTGGCTGCCTGGTCAGTGGCTCCTTGGACCACAGATGTTTCAGGTTCAGGTCCAGCTGACCAGTTTTCTCCTCTGCCCAGGTACCATCGCTGCGGATGACTGCGAGCTGTGCGTGAATGTTGCCTGTACTGGCTGCAGCTAAGATGGCCTGGGTGCCCTTGAGCCCACCCTGGACACCGTGCCCACCCCCCCCCCAACCCACTGCCTTCACAGTACCCAGCCCCATCCAGTCTCTGGGGGGCCCGGCCACCACGGTCACCCCCGCCCCCCAGCCCGCCCTGCAGGGCCTGAGCAGCTGGATCTGGCACAAAGCAGTTGGACTGAGGGTTGGAGGAGAGTCTGGCCCCTGAGGCAGCCCTGCTGCTGAATAAAGGTTCCCCACCTACACACAGAGCCAGGCGCCCATTTGTTCATCCCCAGGAGCTACAGGCGGAGCCGCCTAGGAAGCTGGGTGGGTTGGACTCCTGAGTCAGGCATTTCCATGGTTTCCTCGCCTGAGGAGTTGCTCTATTTCATGTTGAAGGAGTGAGGCTCTGGGCGGAAATGAGTGGCCCATGATCACAGGGCTGGGAAGCCACAGGGCACCCAGATCCATCTGACCTCCCAAGCTGAGCTCAAGTCCTGGCCCAGCTGCAGAGCCAGAGCTTCTGTGCTCCTGATGGGGCTGGGGGAAGGACGGGGGGGCTCCCTCCCGTAGGTGGGACTGCGGTGGAGGGGGTGGAGGGAGGAACCACGTGGTGCCCCTTCGGGGCTGATTCTGCTCCCGGGCCTGCCTGAGTTCACCTTTACCCTCCTTCTTGGGCTCCCCGGGACTGCCTGGCCAGCTCCATATGGAAGGCCTTCCTTCCCTCTCACCATCCTAGTGGCCCTAAGGAATATTAATAATACCAGCATCTATTGAGCATTTGCTATACCCTAGGTACTGTTCTAAACTCTCTGTAGGTATTAACCCACCGAGTCCTCACAACAGTTCGGTGAAGCAGGTACTCTTCGTACTACCTGTATGAATGAGGAGACCCAGGTACAGAGAGAACTAATTAGTCCAGGGTCACAGGCTCAGCAAAGTGGCAAAGCAGTCTTCTTCCCAGGAAGTCTGGGCCAGAGTCTATACTCTGAACCATCATGTTACCGCCTCCCTGTGACTCCAGGCCCCAGCTGCAGCTAATGACACCCAAGGGAGGATGCCCTGCAGCCACTGCATTCCCCCAGGGGCCTTCAGTGCTCTACTAAAGGCCAAGAGCCAGACTGGGAATTCCTGGGAGAAGGGCTTTCCACAGAGTGGCTTCCTCCCCGGCCTCTGTCCCTGGCAGCCAGAGAGGAGAAAAGCCAGGTACAAAGGGGCCATGCCCTCTGAACTCAGCTCCCAGGGCCAAGGCCGTGGTGGATTCCCCCAGACCAGCTGCCCAGCTGTGCTCAATCGTCCTGTAACCGCCCAGCCTCCCAGGCCACACCCCACGGAGCTCTGGCTCCTTCCTGTCCCCCCCCCTCCAACAGGCAAGTCTGGCTAGGGGCCTTTGCAATGCCTCCTGCGTCTCTCTGGGCCCCTCCCATCCCTCTATCATCACTGCCCCCCTCCCCATCCCATCCTCTCTCCCCCACGAGGCCAGAGCTTCCTCCCTGCCCTGCATCCTGCAGGCTCTCCATGCCCACCAAGCCAGAGGAACACTGCAGTGCTGCTCCAGCAGTGCCGCTTACCCTTCTGTGCCTCCCCAGTACCAACTCTCAAGTCTAAACTGAGCCCACTCACCATCTGGCCTCGTCTCCCACCTGCCTGGGAAGGAGGCAATAATGGGAACTGCCAATGAGTGAGCACCTGCTGTGTGCCAGGCACAAGGCAGAGCCATCTAGACAGAAATAATAATAATAATAACAGCATCAGCACAGTGCTCACTCACACTGGGCCCGGTGGAGCTCTAAGAGTTTTCCCTGTATTACCTCATTTAATCTTCACTCACCCCTATGAAATAGGGGAGAGAACAGGCTAAGTAACCTGCCCAAAGTCACACAGCTGGTAACAAGCAGTGCCTGGACTGACACCCAGAGAGTCTGGCTCCTGAGTAGGAGCATTAAATAATTCTACCCCACCACCCGTCTCATCAAGCACCCCTGCAACCTTGGGAGGAGGGATCTCCCAAGAGATCAGGGGTGAGCAGGGGTGAGGGGAGCAGAGGACATAGTGAGAACTATGGCTTGGGGTGTGGGCCCTGGGGGGAGGGCAGGAGGCAGTGCTGAAGTGGTCAGGACGGGGCCAGAGTCTGAGGCCCATTGAACACTCTCCAGCCAGGGGCTGATCTCATAGCCCCTCAGTGCTTGTGTTGGTCATCCAAACCAGCACAGGAGCCCACATGTGGCTTAGGGATCATGAAAGAAAAGCAGAAGTTCCACCTCCTCCATTGGTGGTCGTTGGATTCAAGTCTCCTCGGTGTCTGTGAGCGGGGTGCAGTACCGATGCTGGCTTAGCAGGAAGAGCAGGGTTCTTGCACTTAGCACACCAAACCCTGAGCTGGCGAGGGCAGGGTAGGCATTCATAAAGTGGGATGAAAGAAGGAATGAAAGCAACACCAGGAGGACTCTGGAATCTGGTTTATTAACCGCGGGTGGGGGTGGATCTTGGAAAGCACCGGCAGCTCAGATGCGGGCAGGGCCTGGGCCTCCCCAGGCTGCCCTCTCGTCACTCCTCCATTCTGGGTAGGTGGAGCTGCGGGGAGGGGGAGCAGCCTGCGGGGGAGGGACAGAAGGTAGCGAGCACCCGCCATCCTAGCATCCAGCACAGGCAGCGTAGGCACAGATCTCACACGTGCTCGGATCCTCAGCGATGGCCTCTGGACAGGAGAAACGGGCCCCCGTGAGAGCAGCTTCCTCTGCCCAAAGCTCCCGCCCTCCCTTGAGCCAGAGTTTGAACATCCACCACCCAGGAGAAACCCAGGCCTGTCCTCTCAGACCAGCGACGCTTTCCACCCCAAACCAGGACACAAGTACTGCAAGCCAGCCAATCAGGGCGGAGAGCCTACCCAGAAAGGCGATACAGCTGAGACCAGACAAACCAGGACGCACAGCAGAGGGCTTAACAGACCCACCAATCAGAGCAGAGCTCATCCTCGGAATCCCACCAGTCAGAACACACCTCTCCTTCAAGTGCCACCAATCAGGGAATTCCTGGGCCCCGCCCTTCAGAGAGGGGGTTACTTGCCTAGCCTCTCCAGGATCTCCTGGGCATTGGGCTCCTTGCAGAGAGGCTTGAGCTCCTTCGGGAAATCTCAGGGAGCTACAGAGGATGGAAACGAGGGATCCACCAGTATTTTTAGGCCTCCTAGAGGCTCCTGGAGCTGCCGGAGGTCCTTGAGCTTCTTCCCTGACTCCAGAGAAAAGGAGAACTCTCCATCCTGAGAGAGACATGTCCAGGGTGTAAAGCCAGGCTACAGCCTGCTCCCTGGCCGCTTCCCCGAGGACCGCCCCCTCTCCAGCCCCGGTGCTCACACTCAAACAGTGTTTGCGGCACACGGGAGCCAGGTGCTCCACTGCGGGGCAATATAAGGTGGTCAGAGCTCAGAGCCAGACACTGGGCTTGAATCCTGGTTTTGCTCTGCGACCATGGACAGGTCATTACACTCTGGGATCCTAGGGTCTGCCTGTTATATGAGGAATGGAGAAGACAGATGTGAAGCGGCAGGGACACAGTAGGTGCCTATTAGTAGGAGCCACTGTGCTGATTTTTAGGGAGAGGCATAGAGCTGGGACCAAGGCTCAGGCATCCTGAATCCACGGGGCTGTGCCCCAGTTGTCTTCACCCCTGCCTGAGAGCAGTGTGGGCTGATCCCCTGGTCCCTGGCTCCAGCCTCCTGCCTGGCTGATGTTTGAGAAGCAGTAAGAGGCCTCCCGGGGCCTGGCTGTGATAGAATGGGGCCCCTGATGAGTACCAGGCTGACCTACGGCTGGCATCCACACCGATGGGCACACCCTCCCGTCGGGACCTCCAGGCTGTCCAGGTGATTCCTGAGACCCAGGCCAGGGCTTCGGCTGAGGAGGAAGGTCTGGAACTGAATCAAGCTCCTTCACTTCCCAACCATGTGCCCATGCCCAGTTACAGAATCTCTCTGAGGCTCTATTTGACTCCTCTGAAATATGAGACTAATAATCCCTCTTGCCATGGTGATCCTGGCGTCACAGTGACATACTGGAGGAACCTGGTCATGGCAGGCACTCTGTAAATTGGCTAATCACCTGCCTTTCCCAAATTGTTTCTCTTTTCTCTACCTGATGTTCCTTCTCCAAGTTTGAAGAGGAAGGTGTAAGAGGCAGGACTGAGAAGGGGGTCCCTGGGGAAGAGTCTTAGACATACCCCCCACTCCGTCCCCAGAGGGGTGCTCTATCAGGGGACAGGCCTGGGCCCTGGACATAGAGAGCCAGCTGGGCCACAGTAGGGACAGACAATTTACCTTCACGGTGACTCCCCCTGCCAGGGCGGCCCAGGCCCCAAGGAGACACAGTGCGGACAGCAGGAAGGTGTTCATGGCGGCAGCGCCTAAGAGAGGAGTGCAAGCAAGGGGACGCAAGGGGAAAACAGTGGGACTTTTAAAGAGGGCAGGGTTACTGAGTAACCCAGGAGTCTTTGCCAGTGTCTCGTCTGCTTGCTTGTCAACTTAACCTTAATCAGATAAGGCTCAAGACAGCCCTGGCCGGTAAGAAATCAGTCGGGGGAGGCCATCAGAGCCCCAGCCCCTTCCTGGACTCCCACTTTAACTCACGGCTGGGCTGGGTCCTGCATTCAGGACCAGCCACTCACACTCACTGATGGCTCTGGGCCATGCCATGAGCCAGGGTGGGGCTGCAGACCCAGCCCAGCCCTTAAAGAGGGAGGACCAGTGGCAATGCAGGGTGATTAGGGGAGTGGGTGGGCATGAGGAATGGAGGGGCCATTCAACCAGCCAAGGGGCGGGGAAGGTCAAGAAGCTTTCCCAAAGGAGGTTTAGAGAATGGGTGGAGATTTTCTTAGAGAAGGGCCTGAGGGTAGAAGGCCATTTCTTGCAGAGGATACTACACGTGAGACAGCAGGGAGGTGAAATAGGCCTGGAATAATCAAGGAAATGTGAATAATTCAGCCTGGGGGGAGGAGGAGGTTGCCAGGGGGCTTCAAGTGTTAAGAAATGAGATTACCAAGGCAGGCGTTCGGTTTGGCCGCTGTGACTTTGAGGAAGGACTCAGCTCTGCCATCCACAGGCCTGGTTCGAGTCCCATCTACTGCCCCATTCCTGTGTGTGTGAATCTGGACAAATTGTTTCCCTCTCTGAACATCAGGACCCCTTGTATCCTCTCTGGGGACCAATATAATAATACGTACCTCGTGGGGTTATTTTGAGAATTAAATGAGGTTATAAAAATGCTTACCTCAATGCCTGGCATACAGAAAGCACTCAGTAAAAGATCCTTCAGTTATTATTACTTTGATCAACAGCCACAACAGCTTCTGGTCCCCGTTGGCCCCTCTGGAGACCACCTGCCAATCTGAGCCACAGCCTGTTCTTATCTGGTGCTGGGCCTGCTGTCCTGCCTGTCCTGCAGCCTCAGATCATCCTTGGATGTGCTCTTGCCACTCCCCCTCCTGATTCCCTTGCCCCCTGCCCCTCTAACCATCCCCCCCCCACCCCCTGCCCTCACCGTGTCCCTCCTCTTTTTGCTCTGCTTCCCCCAACTAACTCAGCTTAATCTCCCCCACCCTGGCCTTTCCTGCCAGGCTCAACTCTCCCAGCACCCCTGCCTTTGAATATGCTACTCCATCTGCCTGGTAGGCTTTTCCTTCCTTGTCACTAGGTGAACTCCTACTTAAACTTTAAGGCCCAGATCAAATAACCCCCACTGCATCCTCAGCTAAATAACCTCTCTTTGTTCTCACAGAACCAGATACATTCCCCTACTGGGGATCTTGTTGAGTTGGATTACTTGGGTGTGTGTCTCTGCCCCTCTAGACTCTGACCCCCATGAGGACTGCACCCCGGCATAGTGTGTGTTCATTGTATTCTTTTGTGAGCAGAGCCTCCAGGACAGGGAGGAAGGGGAGCCCTGGGAGCTGCTTTGTTCTAATCTACAAACCAATCTGGCTGCAAGCCAGGATGGCTCCAAAGAAAGGAGTGGGGGTGGGAATCCCTGGGTGGGAAAAGTCAACACTGCAGGGGGAATTGGAGGGAACTTCAAAGGGGTTCAGCCCAAGGGAGGGGCAGGAAACACTTGGTCAACCTGCCTTCTCAGGCTAGTCCTCAGAACCAGACTGAGATTCCCTCCATTTTCTAGTGTGTGTGCGTACACTGAGGAGTGTGTGTAAGTTGAAGTGTGTTAGTATATGCAAGGTGTGTGTGTGTGTACGCTGAAGTCTACATGTCCAGTCCAGCCACATGGTGGCCGCTGCTAGCTGAGAGCTGGGTGGGAATGAGCCCCAGCAGAGGGTTAGGGATGGGATAGGGTACCTTAGGGTTACGGATGGAGTTTGGGTTGAAGGTGAGGCTAGAGATACATGTAAGGGTAGAATGTATTGTGATTGGGATGGTGGTGAGCACAGGTAGAGATCAGGAGTGCAGCTGAGGCTGGTGCTGGGGTTGGAATTGGGGCTGGGTGGACTTGAGCTGGGTTAGGGGGAAGGCTGGGTTAAGATCAGTCTTAGGTTACCAACTGGGACTGGAGTTACATTAGGGCAAGACTAAGTAGCAGATAGTGATAGGAGTTCAAGTTAGGACTCAGATCGGGGTTTGGGTCAGTGTCAGGATGGAGCTGAGCTTGGGTGTGGGGTAAGGGTCAGGGTTAGGTTTGGAATCAGGGGTGTAGCTAGGATTGGGTCGATGTGGGGATTGTAGCTGACATGGAGGTTGGTTTGGGGTTAGCTTAGGGTTCTGTGGTAGGGTTAAGGCGGGAGCTGAGTCTGCAGTTTAAGTTGGAGGTGTAGGTGGGGTCTGGGGTTAAGTGCGGGGCTCAGGCTGGACTGGGGTTTGGTTTAGCATGAAGGATGGGGTTCGGCGTGGCCGCTGTGGGCTGCAGGAGCCCTGTTTCTGGCTCCCTTTGGCTTTTCAGTCTTTCCCCTCCTAAGTTACAGCGGGATTGGGGGTAAAGGGAGGGGCCTCTGGTTCCTGAAGCCTCTTTCTCCCATAACCCCTTAGCCGGGGCTTACCTGCTGCAAGGCTGGGGTGGAGTGGGTGTGTGGGAGTGATGTGGCTCCACACTGTGGGAAAGAGGAAACGGCTCATAGGCCTCAGCACTTTGGGCCCTGCCCTACCCAACCCTACCTCTGACATCTCCCCTGGGAACTGTGAACCAACGCCCCTCCCTCCCCTGCCAATTCCCTGGCCCAGCCTGGGCCCAGGTGTGAGTTCAGACCCCCTCCCTCCTCTCCTGCATCGAAGCTGCTGGATCTTGGGGTCCTCTTGGAAGCCTGGGGTTCTGGATCACCCCAGGCCCCCACCTGAGTCCTGTGGCCTCAGTTCCCCAGCACCCCAACACCCCTCATCATTTCTTACGGGTGGTGAGTGGGTCTGGGTTGTTTGGGCGCCTCACATCCAAAGGCCACCCCTTCTGGCAAACTCTCACACCTCCATAGCCTCCCAGGCCATGCCACCTCTACCTGCCTCCCCACCTGAAAACCCATCAGTGGCTGCCCCAAACCTTCAGAAGGAAGCCCAGACTCCCTGGCCTGGCATTCAAGGCCCATCATGGTCAGGCCCCTGCTCACCCTTTACCCAGGATCCCGAAAGACTCCCTAGGAGTGGGCCAGGAAGAAGAGGCCCATACCTGGGGTGCTGTAGGTGAAAAAGCTCCAGCTTTGGAGCCAGGCAGCCCTGGGTTAGAGTCCTAGCTCCATCAGTGAACAGCTGTGTGCCCTTTCTGAACCTCAGTTTTTGCATCAGAAAAATGGAGACAGTAACAACTACACTGTGAATTTTGGGTTGCCGAGAAAACTTTCCTCGCTGACTTCCAGCCCCAGCAAGCCTGTGTTAAGACCATCCCCACACCACCTCTGGGCTCCACCAGCCTCCTATACTTTCCCCTTATAAAACCTACCAAACTAACTGTCCTGCCCACTTTCCTACGAGCTTCTGAGAGCAGAGCCTGTGTCTTGCTCCATCGTGGCCCCAGTACCCATACAAGGCCTGGCCCTTAGTGGGTACCCCCGATCTCTCAGGAGACCAGGAAGGCTGTGGTATTAGTAATAATCATAACATTAATAATAGCAGCGAATGTTGATCAAACACTCGCTCTAGGCTACGTGCTTTACAGGTGTGAAAACCAGACCCAGCCCTGCAGCCCAGTCACCCCTCACCCACTGCTGGCAGCTGCCTGGGTTTCCCCTGCTGTCAGGCCGCCCTCTGGTCTCTGTGAGGATGCTGATGCCATTCCTTTTGGCCTTGAGATTGTTGAACTCTTGTGTTTGGGTGACCTCGTCATGGTTCCAGTGTGCCTGTTAAAGTTGGGTCCACTGAGGCCCAGCCCTCCCAGGCCTGGCTCTGCTTCCCTGCAGGCTGGAGGCCTCAGCTGACCCTAGGAAGAAAGGCCTGGAACAGAGCCCAGGTGGGAGTCTGAAGACTCCCATATGGATCTGCGTGACCATGAAGAGGCTGTGGCCCACATTTTACAGCCTCCGCATCCTGCTTGCAAACATGTCCTGGAGGTTCTTCTGAGAGCCCAGAACTGCCTGAGGAAGGCATCACGATGTATGTGAACCTCCCAATAGCTCTGGGAATACATAAGAAATCACTATAGACCCCCATTTTATAGGTGGGCACACTGAAGCTCAGAGGCCCAGAGAGGGTAAGAAACCATGACTTTCCTGAGGGTGCGGACAGAAGCTCCGGGAGCAGTTTCACTGGTGGCTCTCTGTACGAGGGCACCCAGACAACAGAGAGGGAAGCACAGACACAAGTGTGGGGCCAGCTCAGCCTAGAGGAAGGCACAACTTTTCAGACTCATTGCCAGGTGGACTTGGCACCAGCTGCAGTCACAAAGCTGTAAATTCCAGAACAGAGGCCAGTTCTCACAAGTGCCAAAGAAAAGCTAAACTTCTATTCGGTTCATACCTCCTGTCCTGTCTTCCCAGCCCCAGACCCCCATCTCTGGGGAAGGAGAACAAGAAAGGCACAACCACTGAGTCAGACCCTGTTTTACAGGGCAGCGATACCCGTTGTACAGAGGAGGAAACCAGGCTCCTGGGAGAGTGCCCAGGGCCACAGAGAAAGTGGATGGCTGAGTGGGAATTTGAAGCCTGTTGGCTTGAGCCCAAGTCCAGGCAGGGGTGGAGGGCTCCCTCCCCTCCCCCAGGGGCTGGGGCGGGCAGAATCCTTCCTGTGATGCTCTGCGGGGGGCGGGGCAGCTGGGGAGTAGACAGAGGGTGTGTCTGTTTGTTTGCTCAGCAGTGTCATCTCACATCCCCAGGGCCTGGCCGGGACAAGGCACTGGGGGAGCTCCATTCACCATCTGCTCCCTACATGGCAGGGTTTCCTCCTGCCACACCCTGGCCTGCTCTGGGCATTGGCCA